TATAGGGCATTGTGGGGCAGTGTAGGGCAGTATGGGGCAGTATAGGGCAGTGTGGGGCAGTGTGGGGCAGTATGGGGCAGTGTGGGGCAGTATAGGGCAGTGTGGGGGCAGTGTAGGGCAGTGTAGGGCAGTATGGGGCAGTATGGGGCAGTGTGGGGGCAGTGTAGGGCAGTGTGGGGCAGTGTGGGGCAGTATGGGGCAGTGTGGGGCAGTATAGGGCAGTGTGGGGGCAGTGTAGGGCAGTGTAGGGCAGTATAGGGCAGTGTGGGGCAGTGTGGGGCAGTGTGGGGCAGTGTGGGGCAGTATGGGGCAGTGTGGGGCAGTATGGGGCAGTGTGGGGCAGTATGGGGCAGTATAGGGCAGTGTGGGGGCAGTGTAGGGCAGTATGGGGCAGTATAGGGCAGTATAGGGCAGTGTGGGGGCAGTGTAGGGCAATGTGAGGCAGTGTGGGGCAGTATGGGGCAGTATAGGGCAGTGTGGAGCAGTATAGGGCAGTATGGGGCAGTATAGGGCAGTGTGGGGCAGTATGGGGCAGTATAGGGCAGTGTGGGGGCAGTGTAGGGCAGTGTAGGGCAGTATGGGGCAGTATGGGGCAGTATAGGGCAGTGTGGGGCAGTATGGGGCAGTATGGGGCAGTATAGGGCAGTGTGGGGCAGTATGGGGCAGTATGGGGCAGTATAGGGCAGTGTGGGGCAGTATAGGGCAGTATGGGGCAGTTAGGAAGGAACAGATTGATAGAGCACCGTGTGTCAATATGTGGGTGTAAAGTGATCGGTGATGGACGAGGCTCCGATCAATACTCGTGTCCATGAATGGAACCAAATTCATCATCCACATAATTTCACTAAGAGAGGAACAGGGAGAGTCGTCCGTCCACGTGACCCCACAGTCACAGGTTCAACTCCCACAGCGGGAACATCAGAGCTGAATGAGAGAGGCTTCTCTTAGGAACACTGTTCCTCCTGTTGGACCCTGGTAGTCTCGGAGGTTAAGGCACCGACTACGAACTAAAAGAACTACAACGATTGGTCCAATTAGTGGAAAAGTTGCAGCTTGTCCAGGTTGGACAAAATTGCGAAAGGTCTTGCAGAATTCATAGAAATTTGGTTGAATTTGCGTTAATTGGTGCAACTTTGCAGCTTCCTGAAGGGACTGAATGTGCAAATCAACTGTAAACCTATCATGACGTCACCCATTGGTTTGTGGAGTCCCGTTTTTAAAGCCTCGGTTTCTGCGTTTTGGCCACCGCC